TAGAGTGTTGCGTGGGATCCGGTCAAACGCTTTCTCCAGGTCCGCAAAGCACATTTACACCGAATGGGCGTCCTCCCACGATTTCTCAACCATCTGGCGCAGGGCAAATATATGGTCAGACGTGCTTCGACCGGGTTGGAAGCCACACTGCTCTTCTTGAATCTTGAGGTAAACTAGTTCACGGCGCCTCCTTTCTAGCACTTTTGCGTAGACTTTACCTGGGAGGCTAAATAACGTTATATCCCTATAATTGGAGCATTCCTTGTGGTCTCCCTTCTTGAATATGGGTACGATAACTCCCGTTCTCCAGTCCGCTGGTGTCTTTCCCGCAGTCATCGGAGTTTGACAGATACGTGATAGCCAGCACATGCCTTGTTCGCCTAATGCCTTGAGCATCTCGGGGCGAATTTCGTCAATTCCACCAGCTTTTCCATTTTTCAAACTTTTCACGGCTTGTGCAATTTCATCTATAGAGATAGTAATATCCGTACCCTTCTGCTCTACAGACGAGTCTTCCTGCTGTTACGCGAGGTTAAGTTCTTCAAAGCAGTCCCTCCATCGCTGAAGAATGTCATGATATTTGGTAAGACGTTGTCCAGTTCTGTCTTCAAGACTCTGAGACAGCTCTTCTTCTCACCAATTAACAAGTACCTGAATTGTTCTCTCCGAAATACCAGAATACCTTGATTGGCGACAATGACTAAGCAATCGGCAAAATCACAGTAAGAAAGACGCAAATACCGTACCAGTGGCTCTCTTTTCGAGTAGCCAGGATTCTGCGAAAAGATGGAACCCCAATGTTCTGGGCAGCTATCTAGACCACCGCTGAATATATCACAGCAAAAAAATTTATTACTATTATTTTTATCGTGATATATTCAGCTGCGGTGTCGATAGCTCCCCCGAACATCGGGGTTTCATTTCTCCCTTTTCTACTCCTACAGATCATGGCAATTTTCTCTGTTTTAACATACTTCAGTTCAAATCATGTTTGAGACAGGGTCCTGCATGTTATGCACTGAAAGTACTAAAATACCATGGAGCCGTGACCTGCTAAGCTTGAGAAATTAACTCTCACAACTGAAATTCTATATCCTTAACTGGACTCCCTAGGCTTGTAGAAGCAAGGGGGTGGTGCAATGAGCTGCTGGCGTAAAGTGAGAAATTGATTTTTTTCTTTACACTGTGCATTCGTCATTTCAATCCGGTATCATTATTTTTACAGTGTAACCAGGATTTTGTTGTAAAGAATGAATACCGTATCTAACCTGTTGACAGTTGTAAAAGACACTATTGTTAAAGCAATCAGAACATGATCTGATGACGAGCTGCTTTCATACCGTCACACGAGATGTTTCTAACTGCATTTTATGAATATATAATCCAGCAACCTTTGTACCTTTCTTCATCCATGCATTTTCTGTTGCTCGACACAAAAAATGCTGTTGGCCTTACCAAATCGGTCACTGTGAACGCTGATTTCACTTTAAGGTCATCGCAATTGCCATGTTCGATATCAGATAGGTAGCGGGTCACTGATTCAATTTCCAAGGTCCATGTTGTCGGCAGAAACCATGATCGTTTCACCGCTGCTGAGCTGCACAGTAGAACCAATTCCAAGGATTACAAAACCATTCATGCTACAGCAACAAGTACTTAAACCAGCTTATCATAGAACATGTATCTTTCGCTTGTCTATAGAATTCTGAGGCGCACAGACGGATATAATTAATGTTGCTACGAACGTTTGCGAAACCTTCATCCAGTCCAATCTGGGTCTAACCGATCTCCATTTTTCAACGGTTCATTCATAGTCTGTAAATGCATTGTGAATTCCACAACCACGAATTCCTTCTTCTGCATTCAAACCTAATAATTAATAGTGTCTGGCCACCGGAAAAATATTTTTATGATTTTATGTTTCTTAAACCATGTCTCTTGGAGGTTCGCTACCTGACATGCATTAAAACCTCAAATATCTGATTAAGGCAGCTTGAATATATTTACCTGTCAAGAACTGACAGTTCAAAGCAACCATATTCAATTTCAGCTAATTTAAAGCAAACTCGGTTGTGACCTCGATGTCTGATCTTTGGCAATGCATCTAGACATTTTGCGTCACAACGTAACAACGTGAATGCAAGAAGTACCAAGTGAACGCCGATCAGAATCAAACAACCAGCAAAACTCCCAATCTACTTTAGGATAAAACTTTAAAATATTATTCATGTCGTTGATTCTGCATATACGTTCACTATCAGCAGAACTGTTCATATTCTGCCTTATGGCGGAGGCAGAATAACATCTATTAAAAATTCAAAGTTGCACGAATAGCAACAGATATTAGTAAAACTGATGTTGGTCAGAAGAATTCTCCGTACTCCTGCGAGACGGTCAAATTAAAACATATTGTACACGAATGAAAAGCACGACAGTGTTCACCACGCGAATTACCTCAGATAAATTTATTTCCACGAGCTGATCGTATTCAGCTCCCGGATCAGCAGACAGCAAGTTTGGATAATTAACAGCTGTATCGGCAATGTCTAAAAGTTAATGTAATTAATAGCACGGTCTTCAGGAACGCTTAAAACCTTTCCTTCCAGTAGCAGCAAGATATTTTTCCATGCTCTTGTTGAACGGAAACAAGGAGGATGTGGCCCCAATTTCGGCACCCATATTGCATATAGTTCCCATTCCTTAAATGTAGAATTTATCTGATTGACAATACATATTCCAAGCGTTGAATCGATAACCAGAATAAAATTTAAAACATGTATATAAACATCAAAACGATGATTAATTAAGGTACTAAGACACTGAGCATATCATACTGCTTAAAACATTCGTGTTTCAGAAAAATTAAAAGATTGGGCTGAGCAGTTACTATCCGAGTTATTTGACCAGATAATAGGTGGCATTGTTATGCTCGCTTGAAAGGCAGACATGTCAAATCGTCCAGGGAACCTGTCCCCTCAACAAATAAACACCCAACGTTCGTGACGGAAACCTAAAGAC